AGGGTTTTTTTTTTTTTTTTTTTTTTTCAGAGCTCAGGCCTGAAGTTGAAACAGACTGTTACCCTGTGATGCCCAAACTCTGTAGCATGGCTGTGACTTGCTATAGAGTGTTGTGTGCTAATGCAATACCTTTCCAGTTGCACAATTACTCAGGTTCCAAGTATTCCACAGCATCTACTGCTGAACCAGTTGATCTAAAAAGCAGATTCTACATCATTTGTTCCTGGGTTTATGAATATCATGTCTCTATCTGGCAAAATTGCTTAAAGGAGAGATCCAGATATTCCTTAATTAACTCCTGGAGGTGTAATTTATTTGATTTCAGTTGTAGCAAGAGAAACAAACCATCATACATGTCATTACACATCAATGACTGCTTCGCTGGTGTCAGTACAGGCACTGACTCCTCTCTAGTGGCCAGAGTTCTTACATTCTGTGCACCAAAGTTTGTCCCTAGTCACTTCTAACTGTGAGGTTTCTGGAGTACTGGATGCTGACCAATGTTCTTTGCTGTATAGGAGGTCTCAGCATAACCATTGTCAATTAAACCATCTTAGTGACTTTCTACAACTATCCTCATGCTCGGCTAATCTTCTCAAAAATGATTGATATTATTGGCGATTCCCAGTGGATTATGTCATGATTCAGTTGCCTTGAAGCTTTGGAACACTTGAGCAAATGGAAGTAAACTTTATTTAAAAACTAATTAAGAAAATAACACAAAAATGATCAGCAGATACTGAAAGAAACGAATAAAACAATGAGAGAACTTTAATAACAAGTCTTGACTGTTTCAGGATCAGAGCAAGTCTATCTGATAATGGGAACTGGATTCACAATTCATTTTCTTTCTGTAGTTGACCAATTAGAAAACTAAATCACAAGAATCTGAAAGTAGTTCTGATATATAACAGCCAGAGAGCTATGTCCAAGATGAAATAAAATACAATACAACTATTCCATACAACAATAAATAGCTTCAATGACTGGATCTTCCTACAGAGACATCTAGGGCTCAATTAGGGCATGATTTCAATCAGTTTAAGGTGTTCCAAATAAGAACTTATAAAAATTAAGATTTTGCAGATATGAAATATTCAATATGGGTTTGTTTGTGTTTGTTTTAGTGCAAAACTACACAATAGGCTATCTGCACTCTATCTTCCATGGGGAACTGAACTCCACATTTTAGCATTGAAAGTCTGTAAACTTGTCTGTGACCCACTGGGGGACTTTAATATGGGAGAGTGAGATAAGTGATATTTGTATACCACATACTTAATGGTTTTTTATGTATTTAACATAAAAAAGAACCATAACAATACAAGTTTTCCAGAAACATACCTCTTTTCCTGGAGGTCCAGGTGGTCCTGGCTCACCTGGTGGACCCTACAAAAGTAAGAACAAATTATCATATAACACACATTCCTTTTTCTCAATATACATACAGTTATTAAAAACTTCAAAAATCAGTTCTAACACTTTGACATTCATAAGTTCTAAATGTAAGTAGACATTGAAATACACAATGCTTAATGAACTCTGGCACCCAAAGTTAGGAAGCTTTATGTTTAAATTGTTTTTGTTTTTTTCATACTAACTTTAGTATATACTTATTTATTTTAACATTTTGTCATGAATTTGTTTCTTCAAATCCCTACTCAAAATTATCTAAGCTCTCTATATACAAATGAGTTTATAAACACATTTTGTAAATGCTTTTTTAAAAGAGTTGGATGCTTCTCACACATAAACTGATTAATCAATATGGTTAAATTCTAATAGTTTGTTTTAATTAAATTAACCGTTCTGGATTTTAAACTTTTATGGGCTTCATCTGCCTGTTAAGGATAATGTTTTGAACTGCTAGAACAAGTCTTCATCAGGTCAAACATTGTAAGTTGTGGGGTGTAATATTGGAGGAAAACATTTGTGTGAGAAGGAGTTGAGGAGCATGAAATTTCACAAAGTGTAGAATGATAACTTGAAGAAAAGGTACACTCAAATGGTGAAGAAGGAGGCCATAAATGAGAACTTCAGTGTATGACATGAGTTTAACTGGTCTTGGGTCAAAGAAAGCATTTTATTATCTGTTGCATTCTTTGAAAAGAAAAGAGACCACACTTGATTGAACTCTATGCCTTGAACACGATTTAGGGTTAGATAGAGAGTTTTGATGCAGAAAGTTACTTTCCATTTCTTTATTTATCAAACTGTACAGAATCAAGGTTTTGTGATGATTTCAGTTGATATGAATGATGAACTTATGTTCAGCTAAGGTCGATTTTATTGGGTTCATTAGTTTGGTAGCATCTCGGTTGACCTCTGAAAGTCAGGTTTTTTTGTTTTTTTTTACTTTGATAAGTTTTTGAATGCTCTGGTGTATTTGAAGTAAATTTGGATGTTAAATCTTCTACATATTCTCCAAAGTTTTTAGCCTACTTTTGAAATAAACGGTAGAATAATAGTGGTTAAAACAGCCATTTGAGATCTTAGGATGGTAAAATAATTTTCCTACAAAATGTGGATGAAACTGTGGAAACACCCATTTTTTAAGAACATTCTCAAGATGGTATTTTCCTTTTTGAAGATTGCTTTAATCAAATAATTTGTCAGATTCAAAGAGATAGTTTATGATTTCACTTTTAAGAGTGATATATAATAAGATATTTAAATTTTAACAGAAATTATTGATAATACTTGCTTGCATGGGAGGGGCAAATTAGAGTGAAATTGTGACTTGAATAAAAACATTCATATACATATGCTGAATGAATAAAGTAAGAATTATGCTCTCATTTGCAGTGACAAACGTTCATGTTTGCTTGATATCTATTTGTGACAACATTATTTTTGAGAAGTGTCTGATACTGTTCTTTTATATAATCTAGAAAATTAGATTTTCTTCTTCTGATTCCTTTTTCCAAAATTCATTGCTAATGCAAAGCAAAAAACAATTAAAGTTCCAAAACGATAGCATCCATATTCAAGGTGGTTCATAGCTTAATGTAGATTTCTTCAATATGTTTTTGCCAGACAATAAGTATGGCTTCGTTGATGGAATTCTGGAGAACATGTTTGTAAGATCTAAACCCACAAGACGATGCACTTGTACATCAATAGTGTTAATGTGAGTCATAATCAGAAACATAATATTCATTTGATGCAGAGCTAGATAATGACTCATGCTGACAGAAGCACGAACTGAATTTATTTAATTGCACTAACTAAAGGTACCCATTAGGGAATCAAAAACTGTATCAAGGACAACGTGAGATAATTTGCTCCTTCCTTCTTTATTTTGTTTTTAAATCTCTAATGACCTCATCAGATCTTAAATGTATACCCTGCTTTGTGAAAGGTAATAAAAGACTCATTTAACTCTAATTGAATACTTGTCTTTAAATCTAAAGCCAAAAGTCTCTAACAAACTGGAAATGACCTATTTCAGGGGCTTTTTTATCCCTCTTCTCAAGCAAGAATCCTAAAACAAGAGAATTTTTGTACACCAATGGACAATCTAGCTGCCATATAAAAAAATTATGGCAATTGAACCAGCAAATTCTGGGTGATAAAGCAAATAGTTTTTAAAAAAGTGAAAATGTGCTCAATTTCAGTTTTTTTATCCCACTTCTTGGGCAAAAATCCTAAAACAAAATAGACTATGCACACTATCAAACAATTTCCAGTTACCACATCAAAAATTATGGTAATGGAATCAGCCAACTCAGGCTGATGGATGCAAACACCAAACATACACACACATAATGGATAATCTTTATAGTAAGATTACTAATTTATACATATAATTAATGTTTGAAACCAGCTGGAATTTTAGGTATCTGACAACTTTTCAATTTTTTCATAATGTACAGATTTTCTGCTTTCATACAGAACAAAACAATTACAACAATAAATTATTTCAGATATTCTGTTAATCAAAATTTCTGCATTACATTTTTCTCTTAGTTCATCACTTAATTAGTTCAAAGATTAAATGATCATCTACCGGTTCTCCTGGGAGTCCACTTCTCCCATCATACCCTGGAAGACCTGCTGGACCAGGAGGTCCTGGTTCCCCCCGGTCTCCCTGAAAACATATTAAACAATCACTGCCTACACGAAAATGCAAATGATATAAAATTTCCACAGTAAAGACACAAAATCTAATAATTTTTTCAGAGTGACTATCCTCTAGATTCTAGTAGAACTTTATAGTTGAAATACTTATCATTAGTACAGTTAGTTAACAAGTACCAATTTTAATCAGGACTTGCAACAATGTAAATACATTTTACAAGTACTATTTATTTAAAACTTCTCTTACACCTAAAGTACAACTTTTATGATCACATCATGATATATTATGCATAAAACTTAACTTGTTTTCTTAATATTGTCACTTAAAATACAGACATTTTATTTCCCTCTCTCTGTGGTTAGGTTAAAGCAGTCATATTAAACAGATTATTCTTATTTTCTGTATAAAGTATAAAAATATTGTGAAATAAATAAATCTTAATTTCTACAATTATCTCTCGTTAATCTTCATGAGACCAGATTCAAATTATTATTACTAGGACAATATTCTAAATAAGAATGGCTCATAATGGATAAAAACAGATTATTAGATAAACTCTTTACATTCTGGTTTAATTATTAGTATTTTTACATAGTATAACAAAACAAATTCCATTAATGTTAAATAATATCAATGAAAGCCTTTAACAAGCAATGACCAGAGCCATTACAGTAGGTAACATTTTAAAGATCTACAGAAACATTAGAAACTTTCTATGATGAGCACCTGTATCACAACAATATAACCTACAAAATTCTCACAAACTATTCACACAATAGAATCAAAGGTTTTAGAACTAACTACTGGAAAGTTTCTGACAATTAACACAAACAACACAATCATATTTCATATAAAGCATTATCCGAGTTACATGTTCAACGTAAATTTGAAGAAAAAGTCGCTTTAATAATTTTTTAAGTAAAGTTGTAGAAATTATTATTTTATTTGGTTATTTTTTTATATTAAGCTTTGTATGTAAATTATTTCATACAGTTATTATTAAAAGATTAACTGTATTTACTTTTCCACTGTTACATTAAGCATAAACAAAATTCTTCAAACATAATTTAATGTTTTTCTTTCAAACATATTTTGTCTAAAAATAGCCTTATGAAAACACCAAAGGCTTATCAAAAGATGGAATCACAAAGATAATTACACACCTTAAGAGTATATTAATATACAGACAAATGAAATATTAAGAATATGTTATTTAGAACTAGGTTTAATTTAATTATCTTATATGTATATCACACACAAATTATAGAATTATTTTACAATACATTCTTACAATAACTTAAATACTGTACAACATGGTTAAAAAATAATCAAGACAGTGTTTTTAATTAATTTTCTTCCAGGACAGTAACAGCTAATCTTAGCTTTGGAATTGTCACGTGTTGGTAAAGCAATTTAAATAAGATTCTTGTAACTAACCTTAAAAACAATAATTTCTGCAGTACCTACTGCTCCCCCTTGCAGTCTAGTGACAGAACGTTTTACATCCTAAAAGAAAATCATAAAAATATTTTTAAATAATACACTAGTAGTTTACAAAATTTTATATTCACTATTGTTATTTACTTTTGTAATTTATCACAAAACCAAAAGCTTTTTAAATGAATAATGACTACCTTGTCTTATTCTCCAAGCATCTTTCAAAGTAGTCTGTTCAGTGCTTAAAGTTGAAAACAAATTTTGGAGTTTCTTCACAATAGCATATTTGGATATAAGCTTACACATAATATTATGGACAACAAAGGACCATTTGGTCCTTCAACGTTGTTCTTTTACACCCACCTCCTCAGAAAAAGTAAAACTTTAGATTCATCCTTTCTTTTTTCAGGAAATAATATATTTCTATATTAAATTATTATAAAGTGCCACCCTCCATTACTGCTGATGGCAACTCATTCCATAAGCTAATCATTATTTTTGTTAGAAAAATACAACTATCATAATTGGAGTCTAGCCTATCTTTTTCAAATCTTAAACTTGTGCCTCTTTCTCCTATTGCTTAGGTAACTGGTTAGACCACATTTGTAGTATTGGGTTCAGTCTTTGGCTCCTTATGTTAGAAAGGACATTGAATTTTTGAAGAGAAGTTCAGTCAAAGAAAAGTTAGAAAATGTGAAGTTAGCTATTGTGGGAGTGAATAGCCTTAACGGTTGATATTTTAAAGTGAGATTAACAGTTTGATAGAGATAAGAAGAAGAATTTGTCTTGTCAAAGGGTGTTCTAAACAAATTGAACCCACCTGTGTGATCTTTTATGAAAATAAGACAAATATTGAAAGTTCAGGATACAACTGTGGTAACCCAAAAGGCAGTGTAAGTGAATTATTCATTGATAATATATTCTGATAAAAGTAGAGAAAAATAGTTTGGCATGTCAACTGGATTCTAAAGCAATTGAATTAGCCTAAGTACACTTTTGACAAGAAGAAGAGAACTGTACAGTGTTTAAAATACAACTGTGATCTCCATAGTGTAAAGAATTTTTGTACATACGCTTAACTTGTTTTGAATATATTATTTTAAAACAAGTGGGGTGCATGCTGTCTGTTTATTGTTCGAATTTATTGCCAAAAAGTGTCAGAGACACCTACTGTACAAGAATCCTTAACATCCACACATACACATACTTAAAATTTCTGAAAGTTCCAATGTGTACACACACACACACACAGCTATCTAAAGATAAAGACACTGGAAAAATATGTCCCTTATATTTCATATAAAACAGATTTTAAAACAGTTGACATAAAAATTTATTTTAGTAATTTTCAAAATATGCTGATATTGATTATTGATCATGGTTTGTGTTGTACATTTAACTTAGTTTTCTGTATGTCTATAGAAATACTCTTCCCTATTGCTCAATCAGTTGCATTCTTCACACTATATAAAACCACTGCTTTTATTAGAATATCAAGTAATTGTTTATTTTTAAATGAATCAATCTGAAATGTTAACCACGACATGTGTTACAGTCCCTGTGTGAACAGTTCTTCAAGTGTTCAAAAATTCTTTCATGAACAGGTCGATACCTTTCCCAACTGTACGATTGGTAAACATAACGTACACTGAAGTCTGTATACAACATTTATTACATTGCACAACTTTTTCATCCCTGTATTACAGGCTTTACAATTCTGATTATGTCCATAAAATTGTTGAGGCTCTAGTAGTTATTTTCTTAACACTTCTTTTAACTTCTTACCAGGTTTCTGTATTAAATGTAAATCAATATTGTTTTATGAACATTATAGCTAAAAGCTGTGGATCTTTATATATATATGGAACTACTAAAACAGGTTTTACTTCTTTCTCAATTGTAAGCTTTTTCGTGTTTGACTTGGCCTTCACTAATGTTCTTCCAATCCATTCTTGAGGATAATTATAAATGTTATGCAAAGCTTGGATTTTGTTTTTGCTTTGTTTGCTTGTTGGGTGGTCTGAAGAGAGCAACTGGGCACATATAAACTGAGAACAAACTACTGGTTCCTTTAAAGTAGTAAAATGAGCAGAATAATAGCTGAAAGATACACAACTATGAATTAGTTCAAGATATAGTTTGTAAGAAAAGCTTCCATTATTTGCTATAATAATCAGAACATCTAAAAAAAAGTTAAAATGAATTTTGGTTGTGAAATTTTAAGTGAGAATTGAACTGCAGCATTACGGGCATTTATTTGTGCATAAAAAACATTCAGTTCTTCCAGTGAATATTCTGAAACAATAAAAACAATGTCTATTCCCTATACCATACATAGAAAGCTGGTTTTAGTGATTCCAGCTCATGTACAAAAATGATTGCAAAGGAGAGTGCACCATTCAGTTTCCCATTGGTACAACCTTAATTCGTTTAAAGAACTAGTGACCTAAATTAGTGACTGTTATTGAGAACAAATTAGAATAGACATTCAGTATTATCTGTCATAAGGCTAAAAGTGCATAGTTAATTTTCATGCTTAGTGAGCAATTTTCAAACAGATTTAATACTTTTTACAAGTAGAATATTACTGTATAGGGCTTTAATGTCTCAACTGGCAAGTAAAGTATTAACTTGATAACTAGTGTAAAGCTGGAAAAGAAAATCACTCGAGTCCTTTTTATACAACTTAATATGAATCTTATTAGCTGAGAAAGGATTTTTTCAAAAAGCCTAGATATTTGCTCACATGAACTGTCATTCACTGAGACAATAAGTATTAAAGATAATTTATTTTTGTGATCCTCTTGAAGGTCATACTGCTCAAGGCAACGAGAATGACAAGGAATAATGATAAAAGTTCATCCTCAACCTTCCTTTGAACATGAATGTTTATAACATCTTTGGCTTGTGCCTCAGTTTCTTTAGTTGAGTCATGGTCGAGTTCTACAAATGCAGGTTTGTCTTCCAGTTCTTGTTCCATTAGATTAATGAAATCACTTTTGTTCAATATAACAAATTATTTGGTTTTATCCTAAGTTTTTGTGATAGTCCTGGTCATTTTATAGAAATTTCAGTGCTTCTTTTTTTGCCTTTAGTGATGTTATGATGATGTGTCGCACTATAAGATCTTCTTTAAGATTAATTAACTTTTTTTCTGTGTCTGTATTTGTCAAATGCATATTTTGGTAAGGCCATGGAAGGGATAACAAATTTGAATTTGCTATCTGATGTTTTTATTGTTAAAATTGTTTGTGTGATAAGAGTTTTAACATAATTAAAATATCATTATTTACCTTTGATGAAGAGTATGTTGTGTATCCAGAGTCTCCCTGTCGAATAAAAAATATAACATTACACAGATATTCTTTTAAAAATGAGCAAATATATATATATATTGACTTGAGTAAGCAATTAGAAATATAATGTTAAAGCACATAAGTTAGAAATACTCAGTGAGAAAACTTAAAAATATATATTACCCACAAGTATATATAAATAAGATGTAAAATACATTTGTAATTATGTAAAAGCCACCAATGATCAGTTTGTTGTTGGCAGAGAAATTGATTAACTGACATGTCTATACTTTTTTTAATATAAAGGCTTTATAGTTTCTAAAACAATACATAAAACCACAAAAATACCATTCCCATCATGTAAATTTGCCAAGAACAAACATTATACTGTAAAAATAAGTATATTAATCATTTTCTAAACATCATAGCATTTATATGAAACTTTAATCTGAAATAAAGTATAAAGAGGTTTCATTCACAGGATTTTAAAGACACTTTTAATATATATTCTGTATGATATAGCACATTTTTAAGCTAACCTGATATGGACTAATATACTGTTATTTGATATACATGTACATCTTTTTCTCTCTTACTGTAAACTAAAGCTTATCATATGTCAAAATATATTAACATTTATTGTACTTACTTTCTCTCCCTTTTGTCCCTAAATGTAGAAAAAAATATATTACATTTTATGTATTAAATGGAGTTTTTAATCCTTATAAACTATTTTAATTCAATACTGTTGTCTAATACATATTCTTTTTGTATAAGATATCACCTTTCTAAAACAGAGTAATTATCAAAGTGAGTTATAATAACGAGAAATTAGTTAAGTTTTTGAAGGCTTTTTGAGTTGACAGTATAATCAATTCATTGATAAAACATTGAATCCAATTATTCCCCAGTTCAATTCCCTATAGTGGACAGAGTGCAGGTAGCCTATTGTGTAGCTTTCTGCTAAAACGAAAACAACCCAATTAAGGAATAAATTTAAATCTACAAAAGATGTAGATTTTAATATGACCTGTATTATAAAAAAAAAGCCTGAAATTATTTAAACTGGAAAATTCAGCAACAATAATAATAAAAAATAACAGATTTTAATGAAATATACATAAAAAAGAATCAACTGAGCCAAAAAACTTCTGACATAAAATGTTTACAACACACCAAAAGGAATGTGAAAACACATAAACATCATTACATGATCAAAAGTTGAGAGGTTCCATAAATACCTACAAATTCCAGTTAACATATCACCCCCTTTATTAAAACAGAAATAACAACGAAACATAATATTATAAAAGGATTGTATTATGGCATCTTATCAAAGTGAATACCTCTTCTTAGATATTTTAGGTCTAAAACAAGAGTATTGTTCTCAAACTTTTTAGGACTGGGACCCCCCTCTTAATGGGCTTGAACAACATGTAACTTCCCCACAATTTTTGGGTCTCCAAAGATAATAAAAGTTAGTTTTCAAGCTAAAAAATATAATACAAATCTCCATTTGTAACCTTGTTGAGATCTCTCTATGACCACCCTTCAGGTTACAACCTGTAGTTTGAAAACACTCTGGTTTTGTTTATTGAAACATTTCACAAAGCTACACAAGAGCTGCACTAGCTGCCCCAAATTTTGAACTGACAGACTACAGGGAAAGCAGCTAGTCAACATACCCAGCATAAACTCTTGGACTACTCTATGTAAACAGTGGGATATGACCATCACTCATAAAAATTCCCTCTGCTCTAAAGTGCAGAGTAAGATTTTTGTTTTCTTACAGAAACAGGATGCAAACCACCAATAGGTGATCTGTGGGCTCATCAAGCTTTCAAGGGCCTGCACTAATACCAGATACTGAAAAAGTAAACAATACTGTATTTGTTAAAAAGATATATTCCCCAACAAGTTTAGGACTGGCCCTTGTCTTTATAGTCATCATCTGAAGTGGTCCAGTGTGGAAAATAATAGGAGTTCACACTAACTACTAGATCATGCCTGGCCCATTTTTGAACACTTGATCTGAGATATTAGTTACATATCTAAATTTAATGATATATTGAATATACGATCTATCCTTTTTAAAAACAAATATACTCATTAAGTGTGCATAAAAACTCTGATTTCATGTCCCTAACCTTTCCTGGATTAGATTCATTTAGATAAGCCAGATAGCAAATAAATAATACCTTTAGTTTTGAGTAGGTTAGTGTAAGTATTGTTATTAGTAGCAAACTTTCTCTGAATACTTAATTCTCTTATCACTAAAAGAAGAGGAGATTCCTAAAAATGAGGTCTAGATAAACATTAGGCCTGCAAGTAACTATTTAAGTAAGTGTTGAAACAACTCAGAAGATAAAAGTCTCCTAGTAGAGGTGAAAATCAAGAAAATAGTATTTAATTTGCACACTTTAAATTTTATTTACATTATTACTATTTATAATTACTCTAAAAGAACTGGCAAAGTGTTCTAGCTACTTCCACAAATAGAAAAAGCATTTCATGTGTTTAAAACGATTAAGAATATAACTGGTAACATTTAAATTTGGTATCAGTTCATAAATAGATTTGCCTACTTTTGCTCCTCCTTGTCCTGGAATTCCTGGTAAGCCCATTGGACCCTAAGCATGCATCACAAAGGTGTGCATGATGATTAAAGTTACTTATAATCATGCAAGTAAAGTATTGTATCAACATAATATAGTAGTTTTTTTTTAGAGGTTGTATTTCCATTTCAATAAAAAACATGCTTGTAATTGTAGTGTTCCTGTATTCCAACCGTACAAGAGAAAAAAATACATGTACTTAATATTATAATCATATAAGCTAATTATAAATGATTTAACTATAGTAAAAATTACAAGTCTTTAGAATTCTATAGAATGTATGTCATACTTATGTAAGAATAGCAATAGATGAGTAGTTAAGTTATAAAAAATGTCTTAAGTTCTTAACACATTCTAATATAAGACTTATGAAACAGTCAATTAAGAAGGTAATAAAAAATTACTGTTTTTTTCTCTGTTCCACTACTCCTGTTGCTCACTAAACATAAACCAGATAATGTCTTTCTAAATAACAATAAAAGTTAAACACTGGTATGGAGTGAACTGTCAAACACTGGCTCAATACCTTTAAACTTTCAAACTAAGTTACATAATATATATATTTTTTTTCTATCAAGTAATTGAGCACTTTTCAGTTGATCATATAAATAAACAGATACATGATATAAAATAAACTAAGTGATATTTCAAGCACAGATATGAAACACAATTAAGCAAAGAAACTAAAAGATACTTTGTGGGGTTTTCTATGATATAAAGACACTTCTTTCAGAAGCTAATGTACATATCATTATATACAAATAATCTTGGTATTTGGCAACCACAAAGACTCACAACAGAAGCAATTAATACTAAAATATATAGTCAGCAATTAATTAAAACCAAATTCAATGTGCTTGAAATTTTCTTTTGTCAGCAAAATTGTTCATAATCAATGCTATGTATTCACTGGCACTTTCTTAGCAGGTTCAAAATACTGTAACATGTTTAATTATTTGTAATGTTTCTAAAAAATAATAAAAACCAATTTCATCTCTACATTTTTGTGGCAAGTCATGGTCTACAAAGAACAAAATTTAAGTTGTTTTTTTTTTTTTTAGATATTTCACTGTGCCTCTTTCTTTAAAGTTCGTATCAAGATGAAACACAGTCAATCAACTCACTGATGTTTTGTAAAATGTATTCACTAGGTTTCAACTTATCCTTTTCTCACATATATTCTTAAAGGCTTATGGCATTTAACATTTCCTAGATAGTCTACATTCTTCTGATGAAACATTAGCAATATTGGGCTGGAAATAATCACCTACCCCCATAGCATTAGTATACTTTGCACGCTGATTGTGTTTTGCACAATATGTGTTGACTTTTGATCTAACAAATTAGAACCCACCCCCCCCCCCCCTTTTCAAACATTCCATGTACTGGCCTGATATATGTAGACAAAATTTGCTATTTCAAATTCAAGAGATAGAAAAAAGAACTTACTGGAAAACCAGGTCTTCCTGGTGGCCCCAAATGTCCCTTTTTTAGAAAAAAGCATAAAAACAATATATCTTAAGGTAAATTACAAAATATTGTAAACTTATAATATACATACAAAAAGTTTTACAAATTCAGCATGAATATCTCACAAATATACAATTTAACAACACATATGGCGTATACAGCTCAATTCTGTACACCTAAATGTGAAATTAATTCTCATTATCCCACTTGTTTTAGCATGACATAAATTAAACAACTAATATAATCTCATGGTGGGCTTACAGCTTTCTTTCTTCCTATTTAATATATATATATATGTCTTAATTACCAATTCATTTTCAAAAGCACTGGCATTATTGATAACCTGTGATCAAAACAAGCTGCCTACAAAATCTATCAATAAAGAAACAAACACCATCTCCAGAAAGAATGGCATTTTATAAAATCAACAAACATGAAACGATAGGTGAAAAATTATTGTATTTTATGAATTTGTCCTCAGCAATATGTAAGGCAGAAACATGGTTACACATCATATTTATAAGTTCTGAAATATGAGTCTGTGGAATAGCAGCCAAATCCTGGCAAAGAACTTGAGGATGGTGTTCCTGAAATGTGGTGAACTATACATGCTTGATAGGATTCATATCTGGTGACTGGCATGGCCATGGAAGAGTGGTAATGCCCTGCCCTTCAAGTCAGAAGTGCCTAACCTTGCTGGAAAGTGGAGATGTGGCAGAAAACAAGCTAAGTAAATCTAACATAGTTGTTAATAATAGTGTATGTACAATAACTGAAAAAAAGTAGGGGCAACTTCCCCCTTCTGCTCTTTGTGTTATACTTCAAGTCATCATTTTATGACTTGAGCTGAATGAGTTGGAGCCCCATCTTCCATGAAAACTCTACTATGTCTGGTAAGCTTGACATAGATAAGTAGTAACCTTGCTTAATAAGAATTGTGATCTATTAAGCAGTATTGACCATCTCTTCACATTCAAACAGCTTTGAGCATAGAGCCACCCAAATGCCCCACCCTCGCTAATAAAAAATACTGTGGAATTTTGTCAGACTTACAGATGGTTCAAGGAAAGTTTCTGAGTAAGTATAGCTGGCAAACCTAGGTGTTCCACTGTCTACGGCTTCTGTTTAGCTATTCTACCATGCTATGAAAATAATTTTTTTTATGTTAGTGGGTCTCACTTGCACCTGTCCTGTAACAGTAGCAGCTATCCGACATAGGTCATTTTACACACTTCTCACACCAAAAACAGTCATTCTGTTGGCCTTGGGTGGTTGGGCTGAGCAGAAACTGAAGTTTCCTGATATGACTGGAAGTGCATTGTCATCTTAATTACTGTGGACAGCAGCACTGCAAGTGACTTAAAAATTACTCTAAAACTCTGACCATCCTCCCATCATCATGCTATGTGACTTCAAGAAAATAAAGTTAAATCCCAGGATACTTTCATTTGTGACATGGCTGTATTTTGTGGTCTTTAATAACAATAATTACCAAGTTATACCTGAATTTATAGATTGGGTTTATTTGCATATGGCATCATGGAAATGATTGATCATAATACCTGGAGGTTTTACTTACTTATTTACTGGCAGGCTGTATATACAGATCAGGATTAACACTTAGTTTAGTAAATAACATAACTAATTTAATATACCAGTCTAATTAGAAGAATGATGCATTGTTACAAAATAAAAACTGTTATCAATAGTTTCAGTCAAAATCTCAAAAATATCTCCTGAGCTTTATCTAGCTTAGAAGATTTAGGTTAGTCGTAAGTCAATATAATAAGCTAACAATGCAAAATAATCTTCATAAGTTTAAAAATAAAATATATTGTATATTAATCACTTTAACCACTGCTGTTAATAAAATTAATGTAAAACTTTAAACAGAGAATGGAGCATAACTTTCCTTACATGTGTTTTAGTTACCTTATAAAACATTACTGCAGATAAATTGTTTTCTATAATATAAGCTTTAGCAAGTTCTTATAATAATAAAAGGAGTGTAAGTTCTAGCTGTCAAAGAATATAGAACTTAATGAATAAATCTGATACAGGTTTAAATGCATTGTAAACATAAAAGTTAGTAAACAAGCTTACTTTTAGTCCTACTGGTCCTCTGATCCCTCGAGGTCCTTAAAATCAGAGAGAAAATTTTTTATTTTACACAAGTAAAATAATAAATATATTTAGGATATTTCTAAAAGTCTTTCAATTAGTTAAAAAAGTAGCTATCTATAGTGAATAATAATATTATACTTTTATAGGCAACATAATTAATTTTTTACACATATTGTATTGATATATTGTTTACTTTTTTATTTAAGTCTTAAATTAAAACTAGTACTATATGAGACTAAAGTTGGTCAAAATGACATTAAAATGTTATATTTCTATAAATATCTTCTTGAAGAGTTAAAAGAACAAAAACATTGTTTAAACGCTTTTAATGTAGTTAAATACAGTACACTTTAGGTGTATCCTAACTACATTTCTAAAAGTAAAACAAATGAGAGTCCAAAATTTTCAGATTTACATTATAATAAATAGTCTGACTCAAAACTGAGGTAATCTTGCAATTAGAAAAATAAACTTTAAAAATATGAAATCCCATAAATTATAAGAACGAATTTTACGGTTATACAGTTTCTTTTACAAATCTGTAAAATGTTTATCATATACAAATTTTTTTTCAGCACAACACCTTCAGATTAGGCACATGACTGTTATTGGCTATAAAGTAGTGTATATTCTAACCTCTAGATGGCAGCCCAGCTGTTGCTTTAAAATAAAAATTAAATTCATATCATGAATAAATGAAAGTAAACTTTCCAACAAATATTATTGTAATAGAAAAGAAACTCGGGGACTAGGACTTGAATCCAGGCCGGAACCTTTGTCTACTAAAAAAATACTGTATCCACCTGAGCTATCTAAGAGCTGTCCTCCTTTCATTTTACTAATAAGGCTTTTTAACTACGAATAGGAAACTCCATACTACTTGTGCTGTTGCGGTCAGGCAATGTGTGGATTGATTTATCACCATCCAACTACACCATGGGAGTCTAACTAGACTCAAATATTTATTTTTTATTATTGCTTTTTAAAGTACAATAATGATTGTTAATTATTCTTTAAGACTCATAACGTAAGTAAATTAATTTGTAGAATTATAAACGGACTTTTCTCTACGTTAAAATAATTTTATTTCGAGCTTTCGGCCCTCTTACTGGAGCCTTCATGAGGACAACAATTTTTTAAGTACAATAATGATTGTTAAATTGTCGCTCAAGACTCATAACGTAGGTAAATTAATACGTAAAATTATAACAACAATTGTTGTCCGATGAAGGCTCCGGTAACAGGGCTGAAAGCTCGCACTAAAAGTATTTTAACGTAGAGAAAAGTGCGTTTATAATTCTACAATTATTGTTAAAAATTGAAATACTTGGAGCGATGTCACTATGATTATAGTATTAGACTGATATTGTTATATTTGTATATAATATCAAAATCTGTTGTAAAAATAAGTTTCACTTTAGTTGCGACACACACGTATAAAACCATATGACATTTTAAACATAGATTTTCACTTAACTCATCAAGGAGTGGTTTTACAACAATATTTATTATAATAATTCTGAAAAGACAGTTTTACAGCTTTGACCAATACAGAGAAGTCCCATTAAATGAGTATTATAAAACAATAACTCTGAGTTTGCTTCTGTATATTTTAATGTTTAAGAGTTTACTTGTTTGTTCAACTAAACGAACATTTTGCGGTTTCTTATTTGTTCTATTCCCGACACACTTTTTTCAGACTTCTATAAACATCAAAGAAATGAAAAAACAAAAGATAGAAACATATCTATTATAACTTGACGTAAAGCAACTAACCATCAAATCAGTCACAAAAGTATAGACGTGAATTAGAAATATAATGAGTGAACTACTTCAACTATTATTATATCTGTCGTATCCCAGCCGCCCTGAAGAGCCTCCGGTATTAACTAAAAAGATTCGTCCGTAATGGATATTTTTGTTTGTCTGTTAAGCTTGTTTGTTTGTTTGAATTTATGCACAAAGCTACACAATGGGCTATCTGTGTTCTGCCCACCACAGTATCGAAATCAGATTTTTAGCGTTAGATTTACTGCTGAGCGAGCGGGGGTGTTCTGGATATAACACCTATGATGCAGTTGATATATTATTTGAGACAATCAGCTTTATATTCACTCAGACGTTCTTATAAACAATACAAATAGCGAAAGCAGGAAAGTTAATACGTCTTATCTTGCTTCTGATTTGCATACCGAACTTTTTCTGTTGATTTTGAGCATTTCTTATGGGCTTGATAAATTGACTCCAAGATATATATATTCAATCATACGGTAAAACACCTTCAAAACAAAAATGAGAGATGGAAGCTAAAATAACTCTTTACATAATCAAGGTTTTCAAGCCATAAACCCTTTACTGTTTATCTCAACAAAAAGGTTTAAGGTATAACAAATCCTGCTATTTGTCTATTTTGTGAACATCGTTTATTTGATTTAATATTATAGAAACTTAATAGATTGCACACTTTTTTCTTAATTAAGTAAAAAAAACAACAACAAAAAACATGATCTTCCCTCTTGATCCCAATATTTGGTAATTTTAAATCAAAAACACAATTTAGATAATCACAAAATAACCAGTTTTTCGTTTGAAGATGTGGTTTAAAAGTTCCACGTGTATCCAATGTTGGGATTCTTGTCTTGGTTTAGTTGCACATATATCGAAGTAAAAATCTCTTTTAAAGTCCACAATCAAACTCATTTCTTAGGTGTTATAATATGAAAGTTATAATCTGTAGTAAAAACTTGTTCACAAAACTCTTTGATCGGTCAAAGATCTGAAATCTCAGATATTAATTTTTTTATGGGTCACGAAACAGTAACTAAGTTGAATATTTAATGTAAAAACGAAATTTAGAAACGACGTGTTATAGTAATCAAGATTTTATGCTTTTTTTTCAACATCTGGAGATCACATTCTTGTCTTAATCTATTGAATAAATTTCTTAGCACTTTATATAATAATTAACCTATGAAAGGATACAAATAAAGCCTGACGCAGAATCCATTCTGAGAATGCTAATAATGTTCTTTGATTTCTGGTTGTTAAGGTGATCATGTTATAAAACTTATGTGATATCCCATATAATTATATA